AAAAAAAAAAAAAAAAAAACAATCCCTCAAAATATTACAGATCCGCAACAAGAAATCAGTCCACCCCACCACCAAAAGAAGATGAACTCACAGGGAAACTTGAGCTCGAGAGGTTCGATGCTGAGGAGTTCGCCCGTACTCATTCTTGGAAGATTGAACCAGGAACAAGAGAGGAAGATGAAATTGAAGAGAGAAAGAATCTGGAAATGAGTTTGCTTGCGAGCAAGTTTCCCGAACCGATCGATTAAAGAGAGGAGCAACAATGGCGAACGTGCTGCGTCCAAGGGAGGGTGAAGCAAAACACGTGCCGCCCCCATACTCAGCAACTCTTTCCTTTATTTAGCCGTTCGGCCCTTTTCAATGGGCCCTTCTGCCTGCTCCATGGGCTTTCTTTTCGGCCCATTCAGCCTTCTCTTTCAGGACTTAAAATAAAGGTTTATTTAATTGTAAATTTGTTTAAATAAATGAATTTGATGTGAATTATTTCATGACATTTAATTCATTTCTAAAATTATTTAAATTACCTATTTTGTGCAAATATATATATATATATATATATATATATATATATATAATAAAATTGGAAAATCGATTATTTTTATTAAAAAAAATAATGTGTATTTAAAATATTATATTTTGTACAATTATTTTTTTTTATAAATATTATATTTAAAATGGGTTTGAATTCAATTAAACCCACTCAAATTTATTATATTTTTTTTTATTTTGCTTTATGATACCCATATACTTATTTTAATGGTTATTGAAATATAATTTTTCAAAATATATATTAAAATTGATGCCTTATTCTTAATTCATCGTTTGAAAATAAATAAACAAATATTTTACAAATTAGTATTTTAATTTTATTAAAAATAAAAAAATCAAATAAATAACTTGATGACATAAGATTAGAATTCTAGATCTTTTAGAGTGAGACTAGATCTTTTAGAGTGGTATCTCACTGATGGCTCGAGCCCACGGAGGAATAACCTAAACTAACCCAACCCAAATATCTTGGAATTGAGTTGAGTTGTGTTCATTATTTAACTTGTCTCAATCCGTCCCAACTCAATTAGGTGTGTGTAAAAACAAAATATGAGCAATTTTAAAATGATTACTCATTAAAACGTTCATCTTTTACTTCACATTCCATTAAAATAATGAACCAAAAACAAAGCCTTTCTATACTAAAAACAGCAATTCCTGTAGAAATTGACACAAAAACTTTGATTCAATGAAGAAATAGACTCATATCAGATGGATGCCTCAACTTTGGTTAGAGATATCAAACATTTCTGCTGTTCATAGCATTGAACAATAATAAAGAACACATACTGACTGCTGCTGAAGTGATCTGGTGTGTGAGTTAAGGCTTTATTTTCTCCAACAACTTCTCAGCTTCGATGAATCCGATCGATCCCAATGATATGTATTTTGCGAACTTCCACCTGTTTACGCCCCCGTTTCGGTTCAGGACCATAATGTTGGCATTTCTTGAAGCAATATCCTAAGCATATGTTGATAATGTGAAAGGTGAGAAACTGGTTACCTGGGTGTGTAAGGAAGTGCAAAACAATGGAGGTGTAGGTGATTGACACTGTTCATTGGGGGCTGATGGAAGCCAAATCTTTCAGAAAAAGAAAAGAGAAGCATCAGTTTAGTATATCGTGCTGCTCTAAAATGAAAGATTAGAACTAAAAGTAGAGTTGAAATCAGAAAAACTAGCAACTTTAGTACTTCTTTTGTAAGGAACAAAGCATTTCGTTCATAAAATGAAGCCTTAAATACTAATGCACTTATGACTTTAGTTTATTTTAGTTCCGGTACTTTCAACTTTTGTTCATTTTTGTGAGATCCTACATCGGTTGGAGAGGGACGTTGAGCCTTTAAGGAGGTGGATTGTGAGATCCCACATCGGGCGGACACTGAGCCAGACACCAAGTGGTATGCTAGCGCGAACGCTAAGCCTTGAAGGGAAGTGGATTATGAGATCCCACATCGGTTGGAGAGGGAAACAAAACATTCTTTATAAGGATGTGGAAACCTCTACCTGGAAGACGCATTTTAAAAACCTTGAAAGGAAATACAAAGAGGACAATATCTACTAGCGGTAAGCTTCGGCGGTAAAAATGGTATCAAAGCCAAACACCGGGTGATTTGCCAGTGAGGAGGCTGAGCCCTGAAGAGGGTGGATATGAGGCAGTGTGTCAGCAAGGACGCTGGGACCCAAAGGGGGATAGATTAGAGGGTCCCACGTCGATTGGAGAAAGGAACAAGTGTCAATGAGGATGCTGGGCCCCGAAGGGGGGTGGATTACGAGATCCCACATCAGACATATTCTATATAAGGGTATGCAAACCTCTCCCTAGCAGACGTGTTTTAAAAACCTTAAGGGAAAGCTCAAAGAAAACAATATTTGCTAGCGGTGGACTTAGATGGTAACCAGATCATTAACCACACTTGTTCTTTAGCAGAAATCAATTGGGAAATAAGACCCTTCTTTTTTTTGCCCAATGACCATTGACAAAAAGATAATCTTAATAAAAATTCAAAAAATTACTGCAACTATCTTCAAGTTTGCTCAACCGAAAGGGTGTCCCTCTCCTTCATGCCATCTAGCAAATGAAGCTCAATGGGCAGGATATCCTTTCGCATTGGACGAAGTTTGTAGTACAACTGAGGAATTCACAACTACAGTACATAATACATCACTTAGTCCACCTCACAAGAAAGAACTAAACTGCTACCATGTACTGTGTCCCCAAAGTAGCTTTTTAGGTGATCGGATTTCTCACACTAATAAAATTGTTCACAATGCATTGTCATCGACCAATGCAAATTGTGAGATCCCGCATCGGTTGGGGAGGAGAACAAAGCATTCTTTATAAGGGTGTGAAAACCTCTCTCCTAGCAAACACGTTTTAAAAACCTTGAGTTGGAAGCATAAAAGGGAAAGCCCAAACAGGACAATATCTACTAGCGGTGAGCTTGGACTGTTACAAATGGTATCAGAGCCAGATACTGGGCGATGTGTCAGTCAAGAGGCTGAGCCCTGAAAGGAGTGGACACGAGGCGGTGTGCCAACAAGGACGCTGAGCCCCGAAGGAGGGTGGATTGGGGGGTCCCACATCGATTGGAGAAAGGAACGAGTGTCAGCGATGACATTGGGCCCCAAAGGGAGGTGGATTGTGAGATCCAACATCGGTTGGGGAGGAGAACGAAACATTGTTTATAAGGGTGTGGAAACCTCTCCTTAACATATGCGTTTTAAAAACCTTGAGGGGAAGCAAGAAAGGGAAAACCCAAAGAAGACAATATCTGCTAGCGGTGGGCTTGGGCTATTACACGAATAGTTAAAAGATTTCATAAGTTGCTCAATAATAAGTCACCGGCACAAACTAGTCCAATGTACAATATTGTCTAGTCCAATGTACAATATTGTAAACCAAACAAATGACAGTTTTGAGAGATTGTTAGTCCATGAAAGCCCATGCTTTCATTAGTTTCATCATGCTTTAGCACTTGCATGCATGAGTTCTAAAATATAAACACCATTTTCCTGCTGAAAACTTGCAACGTAAAAGGCTTAGAGGAGGGTTATCATTCACATTACCTGTGCTTTAATTGAGGGGAATCTTGGGATAGAAGTGTCTGCCCCACCTCTAACATGTGACTTACTGACATAAATAATCAAGACAGTCATGAGCAAAGTCATTATAAGAAATTAGAAAACTGACTACATATCTAAAAATGCCCTTGTTTTAGAAGACGAGTGTGAGATCCCACATCGGTTGGAGAGGAGAACGAAGCATACTTTACAAGGGTATGAAAACCTCTCCCTAGCAGACTCGTTTTAAAAACCTATCTGCAAGCAGTGGGCTTGGACTGTTACAAATGGTAACAACCCTCTAATCTAGGTGCCCAAGCGGCAAGCGACCTTGGGGTGTCACGGTCACTCTTAGCATTATGCCGCTACTAATCTTCATGCAGGTTTTCGAGAACGAGAATATGGTAATACAGACAAAAGATACCAATATGTTTGATAAAGTTATAACATGTAACTAAACCTCTTGCTTTTTAAGAACATGCTTCCCCACCCCATTGCCCTCTCCTTTCCCTTTCTTTAAACAAAAAAAAACATAAATGAAATGCAATCACCAAAGGTTACATTACCGAGTGAGTAATCTTCAGCTCTTCTCTGGAGATTCCTAACTGTGGGAATGTGCTCCTTGGGAATTACCAAGTAATGCCTATAAAGTGGTAGCTCAGTGTAAGAATGCCTTGTATCCATGTCTACAACATAATTACTAGTAAGAAGAACAGTAGAAAGGAAAGAAATGGCGGATTTCATGCAGATGACTTAGCTGAATGAACATGAACAAATGAAAAATGACAGTCCAAAGATTGACAATAGCCCACTATCTCTTTGTTTCTTAGTAAGTTGTGCATATATCTCCTTCTAGACTCTCCGAAATGCATAATGGCAATTGATTTTCACTCTTAGTGGCCTTACTGAGGCCATGTCGAGAATTGTTGGGTGAGGAGTCCCACATCGACTAATTAAGGGGTTGTTGATCATGGGTTTATATGTAACGAATACATCTCCATGGGTACGAGGCCTTTTGGAGAAACCAAAAGTAAACCCAGGAGAGCTTATGCTCAAAGTGGATAATATCATACTATTATGGAGGTTCATAATTCCTCACCGGACATAGAGCGTCCGAGATGGCTACTCACAAAGGCATTTTGAAGCCACTCTCGATGGCCAATGAGAACATACTACAAACAGGTCATAGAAGTTAAAAACCAACAAACTACAAAGGAAAGATGAACGGGAGAGCATTTAAAAGACTATGATTGAATGAATTGAATAAGCTCAGATTGTTATCAAGGACTTCAATTCATAATCACATCCAAGAATGTTCATTGTAAACGATAAATCTACATTTTGCACTACTTTTGCCCACACATTCGAGGTTTAGATATCCAGGTTTAGATATGGATTGCCCATTGAATATCAAGCAACTGGGTATACAACAATCGATGAATTTTGTCTAATGAAGCTGATGAAATGCCAGAAATGAAAATGAAATCAACACAGAAGTATTTCAGATGCCCCATGTCGATTGCAAAACTGAATCAAATGTTAGAAAAATACCTGACGGCAGAAGGGTTTACATCTTCGAACGCAACAACTCTCTCATCCTGCAGAACCCATATATTTAATCAGAGACCCTTCATTCAATCGCCGGTAAAGAGAAGAAGAAACATAGAGAAACGAAAGGAGCAGACAAAATGAAGAAGGTTATTGGCGGTAGAATTAGAAGCTCGCTGGCAGAAAATGCAAGATGAAGCTGTTGCTGCCATTTTTTTTCACGAACTTCTCCGACCAATTTCCCAATTTGCACCGGTGCTTCTTGATTGGGTATTATGGCACCCGCGTGAAATAGATTTTGATTAAATTAAGTCGGATTAATTAGGATGAAATGAATGATTAATGGTATTGTTTTGCGTAATAGCAAAAAATGTGAACTTTATTTCTTAATTATTTTTATGTTATTTATTATTGTAAAGTATATAGTTCTTAGTTAACTTGGGCGCCGCTTTTGCAGCCAAATTCCCAAATGACCATGATCTTCCTATTCCTCGGCCTCTGATGGCTACTTCTCTAGTACCCAGATCCTTGTTTCGCATTCTTTATCTCTTCCCCACAAGCCCTTTTACTTTTAACGCTCAATCGTTCAATCCCTTGAAGTTCTCTGCAACTCGAGCTATGAGTTCCGCGTCAACTCAGCGCCTTTTCCAGCTAAAATTTGATCCACTTACGGGTAACTCGGAGTGGGTAGTCATAGAAGAAGAGGTTGATGGAGTTTCAGAGAATACCCAGAAACCCATTTTGGCGACAACTTCATATTTGGATATGCTTAATGATGCCACTAGAAACAGAGCGTTTCGCGAAGCCATTGATAAGACTATATTAAAACCTTGCCGTGTTCTTGATATTGGGTATTTTTCTAGTCCTGTTTTCAGCCTTCTTGCTTTGAAATCGATGAAAAGAAGATGGTCATCCGATTGAATTTGCTGTTTATATTCTTGTGTGCTTGTGCATTTTTTTGATCAAATTTTGTTATCTTTTATGAATTGTGGTTTGCAGTTCATTCATTTGGTAAGAGACTGTCACTGACCTTTATAGGTTTACTGACGTCGTGGTTAATCAATTTTTTCCAGTGCTGGAACTGGTTTGCTATCAATGATGGCTGCACGGGCAATGGACTCTGCCGTGGGTGATTCCAAGGGAATGGTTACGGCTTGTGAATCCTATCTTCCAATGGTGAAGTTAATGAAGAAAGTCTTGCGTCTTAATGGGATGGAAAGGAAAGTAAAAGTTATTAACAAACGCTCTGATGAACTTCAGTTTGATTCTGATATCATTTCTCGAGCTGATGCCCTTGTGAGTATCACTACATTCGAATAGCAACTTTCTTCTTTCTTTTCAATGATTGAGTCTGCCGATTAATTGAAGGTTAGTGAGATTTTGGACTCAGAACTGTTAGGCGAGGGGCTTATACCGACGTTACAACATGCACATGACAAGCTTTTAGTGGAAAATCCATTGACTGTGCCGTATAAAGCAACCATATACGGCCAGGTATTTAGAAAGCCCTTCAATTGCTTCAAAACCTTTCATATTTTTTGTGCATGGAAGTTTCTTTTTAATTTTTCTTAACTTCATAGTGTTATAGATCAAATTTTGTAGTATGGAACTTGCATTCTTCTACATTTGCAGTTTCCTTGAACAATGATGATGTGAGATCTCCCACCTCGGTTGGGGAGGAGAACAAAGCATTCTTTATAAGGATGTGGAAACCTCTCCCTAGTAGACGTGTTTTAAAAACCTTGAGGGAAAACCCGAAAGGGAAAGCCCAAAGAGGACAATATCTGCTAGCAGTGGGCTTGGGCTGTTACAAATGGTATCAGAGCCAGACACTGGACGATGTGCCAGCGAGCCCCAAAGCGGGTGGACACGAGGCGGTGTGCCAACAAGGACGCTGGGCCCCGAGGGGGGGGGGTGGATTGTGAGATCCCACATTGATTGGGGAGGAGAACGAAGCATTCTTTATAAGGGTGTGGAAACCTCTCCCTAGCAGACGTGTTTTAAAAACCTTGAGGCAAAACCTGAAAGGGAAAGCCCAAAGAGGACAATATCTGCTAGCGGTGGGCTTGGGCTGTTACAAATGGTATCAGAGCCAGACACCGGGCGATGTGCCAACAAGGAGGCTGAGTCCCAAAGCAGGTGGACACGAGGCGTTGTGCCAACAAGGATGCTGGGCCCTGAGGGGGGTGGAATGTGAGATCCCATATCGGTTGGGGAGGAGAACGAAACATTATTTATAAGGGTGTGGAAACCATTCCTAGCAGACACGTTTTAAAAACCTTGAGGGGAAGCTCAAAAGGGAAAACCCAAAGAGGACAGTATCTACTAATGGTGGGATTGGACCGTTATAGATGATAAGTGTTTCACTGTAGTAGAACTAAAGTGATAATATCCAGATTTCAGATATATCTCAGTCGACTGCATGCATTCATGTGCTGTGATTGAATAGACTACAAATTTGTAATAATTTGATAAAGCTGTAATACAATAGTGAAAGTGAGAACTAGTTTCTAATCCAAAAGGTTTGAGAATCTCTTTGTTTATTTCCTTTTCAGCTGGTTGAAAGCACATACTTATGGAAGCTTCATGATTTATATAACAATGAAGCAAAAGCATGTGATGCCATCCATCTCGTTCCAGAAGGGATGGATCCTATCATATGTGTTAAGCCACAGCAATATCCATTGCATTGTGATGCAATTGCTAAAGAAGTGAAGCTGGTAATGACCTAAAATTTTGACCTGGTTCTCATAATCTTCAAGTGTTTTTATTACTATTTGTTTCAGGGTTCATCCAGCTCTCAGAACCCTTCAGGGTTTTTGAATTTGATTTTTGGAAACGTCCAGAGAGTCGTGCTGAAAAGGAGTTGCATATCAAAGCAACTGACGGTGGTAGAGTTCATGCTGTAGTGTCATGGTAACCCACTTCATTGTTCTTATAGTTATTTTCTGCCAAACTGTGACTAATTTCTATTATGTGTCTGCAGGTGGATGCTGCAGCTCGATCGTGAAGGAACGGTCTTTTATTCCACTGCCCCGAAGTGGATATCTCCACCTTTCAACATAGGTGAGTCGTAGACGAGTCATTGGACACATTTTCCTTTGGTATGAATGCCATTTTATTCTGCTATGGCCCAAAATCATAGACTTCTTTTTGTTAATAATGCAAATGGTTAACATTGGCATGATGTGTTCAATCATTTGAGGTGTTAAATCTATGTCTGACGGCAAGCATTGATATGGGGCGGGGTTAAAAAAGTTCATAAGGGAGTTGTACATTTCTGCCTTCAGTTTATATATATCCATATAAGGGTTTTGAAAGCTACTTTCTTTTTGGAATTCAGTATTTCAAATCTCACATGTCAATCTAACTGATAATCTGTAATGGCCCAAGCCCACCGCTATCAGATATTGTCCTCTTTGGGCTTTCCCTTTTGAGTTTCCCCTCACGGTTTTTAAAAAACGTCTACTAGGGAGAGGTTTCCACACCCTTATAAAGAATGTTTCGTTCTCCTCCCCAATCGATATGGGATCTCACAATCCACCCCCCTTTCAGGGCCCAGTGTTCTTACTGGCACACTGCCTCCTGTCCACCTTCCTTCAGGGCTTAGCTTCCTCGCTGGCACATCGTCCCGTGTCTGACTCTGATACCATTAGTGGGGTGACTTACTGAGTATTTCATAAAATACTCAAGCAAATGTGCCACCCTTATATTTTTTCAGGTATAGGTAAAGCTCCTATGAAGGATGACGGTGAACACCGGAAAGACCATGGAAGTCAAGATAGATCATGATAGGGCAGAAGCATTGAATTTAATTAGTAGTTGTTAGGTGTTTTTAATGCAATTTGTTTTATGTTCCAAAAACTGTTTTGAATTGAATATGTAAGTCTATGGCTTTATTTTAAAAGCATTTCTTGTGAATTTCTACGTATGAATTTCTACATATGTATTTAAAACATGCATGCATGCATTTAGGGTAAGAAAATTAGGGGTGTTACACAATCAGACAAGAAACATGGTTTGTTTCTCAAAGATTGACAGAGTGATTAAGCTTGTTCCATATTTCAACAGGAGCTGGTGACTGGTGTGACCATTGGAAACAGTGTGTTTGGTTTATCCCAGACAATGGTGTGTCAATATCCAAGGATGAACAAGTTCATATTTGTGCTTCTCATGATGAAACTACCTTTTCATATCATCTGAAAGCTCAAATCCCAAGAGGTGAGGTTTTGCAGCATGGCGACAATGCTGAGAATTTTAAACTCATATTGCCACCAGAAAGAATTGCAGTCTATGGAGATAGAGAATGGAGGCTGGCAATGTTAACGGCAATAACAAATGCAGTATGATTCCCTTCTTACTGATCCCAATTTTCTCCCCATTTGTTAAGCACATATGCGAGATCCTACGTTGGTTAGAGAGGGGAACGAAGCATTCCTTATAAGGGTGTGGAAACCTCTCCCTAGTAGATGCGTTTTAAAACCTTGAAGGGAACCTCAGAAGGAAAAGCCCAAAGAGGACAATATCTGCTGGCGGTGGGCTTGGATTGTTACAAATTGTATCAGAGCCAGGCACCGAACGGTGTGCCAATGAGGATGCTGGGCCCCCAAGGGGTGGATTGTGAGATCCCACGTTGGTTGGAGAAGGGAACGAAGCATTCCTTATAAGGGTGTGGAAACCTCTCCCTAGTAGATGCGTTTTAAAACCTTGAAGAGAAGCTCAAAAGGAAAAGCCCAAAGAAGACAATATCTGCTAGCGGTGGGCTTGGGTTGTTACAAATGGTATCAGAGCCAGGCACCGAACAGTGTGCCAATGAGGACGCTGGGCTCCCAAGGGGTGGATTGTGAGATCCCACATTGGTTGGAGAAGGGAACGAAGCATTTCTTATAAGGGTGTGGGAACTTCTCTCTAGTAGGTGCGTTTTAAAACTTTGAGAGGAAGCCCGGAAGGAAAAGTCCAAAGAGGACAATATCTGCTAGCGGTGGGCTTGGGCTGTTATAAATGGTATTAGAGTCAGGCACCGAACGGTGTGCCAACGAGGACACTGGGCCCCAAGGGGGTGGATTGTGAGATCCCACATTGGTTGGAGAAGGGAACGAAGTATTCCTTATTAGGGTGTGGAAACCTCTCCCTGGTAGACGCGTTTTAAAACCTTAAGGGGAAGCCCGAAAGGAAAAGTCCAAAGAGGACAACATCCACTAGTGGTGGGTTTGGGCTTGGGCTTGGGCTGTTACAACATAGCACATCAATTGTGCAATATACTCACGTACTTCTTTATAATCGAACTCCACTATCTAAAAAACCTCA